TGAGATTGTAGTCCATCATGGGAGCAAACTTGGAGTGGTGGCACATGTCACAAAGAAAGCAATGTTTCGGGTCCTCCAAGGGTCCCTTCATCAAGCTCATTATGATTACCTCCATCCGCAGCCACTTCAGCACTTATCTTCAAGGGTCAGACTGGTAACTAGTGTGGTCTGATATACATTGGACTTCACTTTAACTCAAGACACTGTATTTATCTGTTTCATTGCTATGGCTCCTCCATTTCACTTTTCCCCCTGACTTAGTACTGTAAATACATTTCTAGTTTGAAGTTGAACTCCATCAAAACCTTATTTTTGGATTCATTAGATAAGGGTTTCCCTTTTCCCCAAATCCCAGAGACACAAGAGCAAGTGGACAGAAACATCCCAAAATTATTTCTTTTGACATGTGTGAGTTGAAACGTTTTCTCCATAAGAAAAACTTTTTTTAATCAGTGATAAAACCTGTTTTCCATACAGGAAGTGAGGGTGAATCTACCCAAAAAGGACACTAACAGAAAGGAAAACCTTACACAGTATGTAACCCTTTCCCAAAACTAAAACAGATTTACTTGTACTTTAACCTCACCCTAAACATTAGTAATCAAATTGTCCCCAGAAATAATAATAAATGATTATTTCATACACATTTGTTCATGCAAAGTAGATATACTCAGATCATATGCTGTCATCAGCCAAACAATGGTGGTCAGGCTAAAGGTGGCCATACACTTTAAAACCCTTGCAAGACTTTTGTCTTGCGAGGGTTGTAAAGTACTTAAAAAAACGTACGATCTGCCCATCTTGGACAGGCTGATCGTACTTGCGATCATCGCAAGCCCGCCCCCCTGAGGGGCGGGCTTACGATGAAACACTGTCGTCAGACCATTCATTTCAGCAACAATCTTCCCATAGTTCATGCATGTTTTTACCTATAAAAGCCATCCTTGTGTAAGCATTCAAAAGCCCTGAGACTGCTGCTGGGCACTGCCATCTTGCCCCAGTATATGCAGAGCTGCCACTAAGGTGACATTCTATATAGTACTTTACTTCTCCCCCTGCAGTAATATAAACATTATGTAGGGAGGTAAAAAGAGGGAAGGTGGAGCGGCGTCATCATTGAGAGAAATTAGACACTCCCAGCAGAGAGAACGTGCAAGGTGGAAAGGGTGTGGCTCTACTAGGAATAACCCCCCCCCCCCCCCAAAAAAAAAAAAAAAAAAAAA